TCATAATCTTTAGAAGCAATCTTCTCTTTGTTTTCGATGAAGTCGTTCCTGACTGCTTCCCAAGCTGTTTGTCCGCCTATTCTAATTGGAATCGATTTCAACTTGTCTAAAACAAAAAACTGAGACGTAAAATGAACCACTCCACACTCTCCAGCGTGCTCATTAAAGCAGCATTCAGTTGAGGCATCTCTACACCACGCGGTGAAATCTTTGGTCCGTTCTGATTCACAGTCGTAAGGAGCAAGCTCCCAAGAAGGTCTTCCATGCATGGACCTTTCACTGCCGCACTGAAAAATACTGAGACCTAATAAAATTGTCTTGGATGACATTGATTTGAGATCACCTGCTTGTCTCATCTTTTTGCAATTTAACAGCTTGCACAGCACATTTGCACTCATGCCGCTTGACATTTCATGACCTATGACATAAACACTGTAAACAGGTTACTATTTGACCGGAAGTAAGCCTGTTTTTCAGCCCAAGCACAAATTTTCATTTGCTTGTTTGCTCAGAAGTCTCAGAAGTGACTGAGAAGACGTTAAATGCAGGTCAAATATATTTTGGGTTCTTGTTTTTGAAAGTATTCTAACGCATTGTTGAATTAAAAAAATTAACGTTTCGCATTTCTCTCCCGCTTCCCGCCCTCTTAGAACTCCTGCTTCCCGCCCTTTCCTCTCCCACCTCCTGTAACCCTCCCCCCTATTCTCCCAGGCTCCCACCCCCTGTCCCCCCCACTAGAATAACATGGAGAATTAAGCATTAAAAGTGGGAAGTGTCTGAAATTTAAATGTGAAAAGCATACAGTATGGTGACAAATATAGAGATGGTAAATTTCTGCTCGCTTTGTCAAAAATTTAATTTTGTTTACAAAACATTTACACAACATATAATGAACCTTTAAGTTTGATGAATAGTATTGAGCAGCATTCAGTCAGCCAGTCAGTCATCTCCATAGTGCCAGCTGGCACAAAGGGTGGCATTGAGCAGCATTAGGTGTCATGAATGCATTTCATGTTTCACTGAAAGGAAAGGTGGCAATTTTATCGCTTTGAATTGTAACAAAGTAATAATTATTGCATCATTGGTTAACTGCAAGCTTCTCCTCTTCCACACAAACAGTAGTTGCTTTTAAAGAAGGCCAACCGGGTAACCTTGAACTAAATAACCTGGCAGGAAGGATTTGTAAACAGTGGACAACGATAGGACTTCACCTTGGAATAAGTCAGGATGTACTGGATGGAATAGATGTCAATGAACGGAATGATAGGCCATATCAGATGTTACTTCGCTGGATAAGGACAACAGATTCAGATGCACCTTATCGTGACCTCTACCATGCTTTGTGTGAAGAAAAAGTTGGTCTTGATAAGGTGGCCCGAGAATTTTGTTGTAAGGAAACCACAGGTACTTGACACATACTCTTACAGTACCTCTAGCCATTTGAACTGGGCCACTTGGAGGACAACTGACTAATCAAAACAGTCAAGAAAAATGGATGGCGATCTTTTTGTTAACAGGCCAATAAAATCGAAGCATCCAGACAGTAAGTTGTCCAAAACAAAATAATGTGAACCAAGGAAAGGCAAGAATAGGTCTGTTTTACTGGAGTTAATACACGTATATAGTATAGACTCTATGCGCTCTTCAGATCCAATAATATCCTTTTTGGCAAATTATCTTAAGTAATAAATTTTACTTGAAAAACTTAACTGGAAAACTCCTTTTTGTGATGGCCATATTGAAACCATTAAAAACTGCTCAAAACAGTGAATAGTTAATACTGAAAACTAATCAAGCAAAACTAATGGCAATGTTTCCTGAGAGGTCTGCAGCATCCATAACTTTGTCAAGTTTCAAAGTTTGTTGTGGGGGTGGGGTGGGGGTGCCATGCCCCCCAGAAAAAAAATGAAGCATCTTAGGTGCATTTTCCGCAATTTTTAATCGATAAATGTATCAATAAGACTTAATGATAATGTGTCATTTTCATTGCCAATAACCTAAAGTAGATTAAAACTGAAGTTGCCTCTGCCCATACTAAATGTATCAGTTGTGTTTTTTCTGTTTTTTTTTTTTTTTTTAATGGAAAAATGAGCAAAGATTGTTGCATGGCAAAGGTTGTTTAAATTTATGATTGTGATCACTGTAAAGACGATTGTGAAAGAACATGTGCTGGTCCACAAGTTAGTACCTCATGTAGCCACCAATGAGCACTTCCCAGATGGGATGCTTCTTGCTGGTTACACAAAGTTACTTTTGGTTAAATTGGTTCAGTAACACACATCTTGTTCTACATGGATGTAAATGGGAAGAGTGCCCAATATTCACCTATGGAGTAACCAAAGGAAACTAAAGTAGAAATAAGGTGATGGTGTGTTCAAAAGCATTTCCAGAATCACTACTAGAAATCAAGTAATTTTGTTCAAGCTATTATAAAATTGCTAACTGCAAATAAAAAAGATCTCTGCTTCATTTATTTCTCCTGAAAAGTGGCCATCCCCAGGATGGCCGGATGGCCACCTGGTTAAAAGCCTGTTTACATAAAAGCATTCTTTGCTCTCAATGTCATTTCTCAATAATCATGCTTTGATTGGTGAACTTTGTTCCAAATGGCCTGGTTCAAATAGTGCATTGTACCTGTAACAAAAGCTAAAATAATAATAATAGTAATAATAATGACAACGACAACGACAACGACAATGATAATAGAATGCCATGTGGTTAAAACCTTAGATATTTAGGGTATTTAAGCTAGGGAATTTAAGTGTATTGGTTTTGTTTATTTTCAATAACCTGCTTACTGAAATTATTTGTTGTATTTTGTTCTTTGTTTTCTAGGTGTTGAAATGACTGCAGCTGAGGCTCAGAAAACTCCAAGCAGGAGGGTGAAGGAGAATGTGAACAATTACAAAGGTGAATGTGACTGATTTTTTTCTTATATAAATGACCATGTACACATCTCATCCACAGAGCCTACCTTTAATTTGTTTTGGTCAGCACCAAGAATGCAGACTCTTTCCAGTAATTAATTGATAGTCCACGATTCATGGAGTTGCAGTCCTTCCAGCTTAACGAGGATTGGCTGACAATTGAAAATGAGTTCTGTGTAAGATTTGTAAGATTGGGTATTTTTGTTATGTTGTGCGCAAAGTCAATGAGAGTTAAATACAATGCATCAGTACTGGTAACAGGAGAAAACACATAGAGAAAAGACAAAGAGAAAACACAAGGAGAAAACTCTTTGATCATTCAAATCCTGAAAATAAAATCACTGAACTATTGATGTTTCCCATTATAAGTTATTGTGTGTAGCGAAATTTGGTAACATTCTTTATAATATGGCAAATTTGTCCTGGATGAAAATGAGAATTCTGATTGGTTCCCTGTCGGTCTAGATTTTTTTTCAGTTAGAAATAGTTATACTTTGCAAATGAAATTGATTCACCCCAGCATTCACAATACTCCTAGACTGAAATCCTGGAAAAATCCTGGAATTCTATAATTTTCTTTCAGTGAGGACCCTGGAAAATTTCTTGAAAACTCTTGTAGTTTTAATTGGAATGCACTAGTTAGATTAATTGATTTCAGAATAACCAGCTCACTTTCAAAGCCATAATAATTTTTATTGTACTGCTCCTGTGTTCCTGCTTCAGAAAAGAGGATATTTCTTGCAAGCGCTGCAGGTGATGGGGCCATGCCCCTCTTTGCCCCATTTAGTCTAGTTTCAGAAAATATCCATACCTCCCCCAAGGAAGGGTACCCCCCAACCCCTCAGTGACCCCTCTGGAAATTCCAATTAAGCTTCATACATTTCTTTACATTTTTGGGTCTTACAGAACCCTCCACCCCCAGGAAATTCCAATCCCTTGTGTGGGGGGAGTATGAATATTTTCTGGAACTGCATATTATTAAAAACTCTGTGTCAAAAAAAGACCAAAACCCTATGTTTCATTCCTCCCTGTCATCCTTGTTTTTTCAGTCAAACAAGGCTCGCCCAGTAACAGCAAGTTAGAAGAGTTAGGTAGTGATATCCATGCAGAAGGCAACTCTTGGAAGAGACTTGCACGTCGATTAGAAATTGAAGAACCAAAGATTACTGCCATTGATGACAAAGAGGATGAACTGTCTGAAAAGGCATACAAGATGCTCTTACATTGGAAACAAGTGAACGGAAGTGGAGCAACTTACAAGGTTTTGTTTGAGGCCTTACATAATAAAATGGTTGATCGCACAGATTTGGCCATAAAGTATTGTTGTGAGAGTTGAGAAGACCGATTTTAGAACAAAAAAGCAAAATGTAGGACTGTTAAGACTGTTACTTGTGAAGTTGCAAATGTATTAATCACACGGGTGCCAAAAACTCTGACTGGTATTTCTCTCAGTGCTATAAATTGTCCAGTTTTTGGAGTATAAACTGATTACAAGTAATAGGAACTGGACTGAGTGGAGTACAATAATCGGGGCATAATCACCCGATTTGAAAATATGACCACAATTTTTCCCTGAATTGACACGAGGTCCAATTACTAATTACTGGTGATCATATCTATAACAAATTTCAAAATGAAAAAAGTCTTTGAGAACTTCTTTTGAGCAAAAAAGTCTGTAGCACTTTCCATAAGTTTTGAAAGCTGTAGGAAACATAAAGGGGGAAACCATTAAAGTGCACTTACTTGATGTGCGAATCATGTGGCATCAAATCAGGTATCCGATTACAAATTTTTGTTATTGAATAACTGTAATTAGACACCCTCATGATCATGCACCAATTTTGTGGCAAATAGGTGCACAGAGAATTAATCACGATCAAGAATTTTGTTATAGATACAATAATTATAATAATGATAACAATATTATTACTTGATATTTTCAAAACAATGTCTTACTATCATTTCATTTTCTTAAATGACTTGATTGTGGATTTTTGCTCCATAAACATGTTAAAGGGGGTATCACATTTTTTTATTCACATATTACAATAGGTTTGGTAACTATGCAAAGGATTGTTGAATGAATTTGAGATGAGGCATGAATTTGTAGAAATATATTATATATTACATAATAATTATAGAAATAATTATGATATTTAGAGTAAGGGAGAGTAGTTTTAATGTAATCTATGCCATACATGCCTATGCAGTTTGGATAGTCCGGTTGACCTGTTAAGCAGTATATTTATGAAATGATTATTCATTTTAAAGGGAATAATGTCCAAAAAATAGTTTTGTTTCAGATCACAAGTTGATGTTAGTGTATATTGTGAAAGTCAATCCTTGTTTTGCTGGGGGTTAATTCACTCCTGCCATTTTAGGATTTCAAATTTTCTGCACACCACCATGTTTCTTTTTTCAAAGTCTCATGGGGATTTATGATGTCATTGCTTGGTTGGATTACAGCACTGCATGAATCTGGAGATGTAAAATTGCTTCTAATCATTTATAAAGCACATTCTGGATGAATATGTACAGTTTAATGAGAAATCTTCTTCCGTAGACTCCATATTGAGAACTCTGACTGCACAGTGGCATCATAATTTATAGTTTAACTTAAATTAAACATGGGCTGGGTTGTTTAAGAGCTTGTTATTTAAACACATACCCAGGATTAAAATTTAGCTTAAGTAATAATTTTTCTTTTATGAAGATCTTTCTCACTGCTTCTTGCTTCCTCTGAAGTTTTAGGTTAGTCACATTCAAAATTGAAGGACAAACAATGTGAACAGAAAACTTTATTTACAAAGGGAGTGAAGCGATTGCGAAGCATGCAGGGGTGGGGGGTGGGTTTATCTCAGTCCCCACCCCCTACCCAGTCAAGTCTTCCATTTTGCGCTGGCGTCCAGTTCTCTCGTGAGTCTATCCGCTCGTTCAATGATGGAATAAAAATACGAGAAAATTCAAATATTGAAACCATTATTGAATGTCTCTGAGGAAAACTATTAGAGATCAGACTGTTAGGGGTGCCCCTTGTAAAATTGCAGTAATATAATGTTGATCGACAAATGCACACAATTAGTTTTTTCATTCTCAGAGTTTTTAGTTTGGAGTTTGTTGCATTCAGTAAAATTGTTTTTTAATGTATTTGTTATATTATTTTAATTTCTAAGTGTACAGCTTATTGTATTCATGTAAGTCGAAAGAAAGGAAACTCAAAAAAAAAAAATAAGTAGAGGTGTACTCCTACTAGTAAGTGCGTCTTAATAAAACTGTTGTACCTTAGCTATCTGTACAGTAAAGGGCTATTTTATTGTCAGTAATGACTGAGTCTTTGTGTTAGTCTAAAATTATGGCGTGGGACCGACTAACTTACGAATTATGGTGTAATTTCAGAAAGTTTTAATCAAAAGAAACTTTGCCAATTCTGAAAAGTGATTATGTTTACAATTTCAAGGCTGGTTTGCACCTATACGAAACAAGCATAAGCTCAAGGAGATATCACTCGATTAGCTTCACGCCTTAAGTTGGATCAAAACAGTTTCCAGTAATTTCCAGATTTTGATGGGTCATTGCATCCACTCTTTATTGATTGATGCTACCGTCACGGTATCACAAAACTGCCCAATCATTGGTGAACACGTTGTTATCATTTTCGTGACATAATAGGTTACCATAGCAACAGTATGACCTGGCAAAAACACTTGAATATAGCTTTAGGAGTTTTTAATTCATAAACGGCATGCTGAAACTTTTTTATATTATCAAATTTTGATCAGCATGGTAAGGCACAACTTTTGACAAAGTTTTTAAAACATCAGTACATGTGGTTCAGAGCCACCTTAAAGTTTTGAAAATTGTTAATTAAGTCTTGAAAATTGCTGCATGGAAACTGTTTTGAGCCACCTTAAACTACGTTCAAAGGAAATCAACCCCCTGTACTGTTTAATTTGTTTATTTGAACACAACACAATCCAACTCAGTGATTGGATAAAACTTATATTAAGCGCATTAGTTCACAGATTTTCAAGTATACACAGAAGAGTTTTGGAAATTGTGAACTTTTCTGATTTTAAAGAAATTTATGAAGGCGATCACTTCACCGCTGGCACGTGCAAAAATGAAATGCAAATCACTAATGACGCCAAGTGTAGGAGAGGATCCCGAGGCCCCGTCCACGTTACGTTGGACGAATTTGAAAACGGAGGTCTCGCTCTGAAAACGCATCAAATGTTTTCCGTCCACACTTCGCCGGAGAAATGTAAAAACGCAACAATCACCGGTCATCTTGGATTTGTGTTGGAAAAAGACTCGGTCAGGGAAATTGCATGGTTATTGTGGCTAAACCGTTCTCGAAAATCTCCGTCTAGATCTGCAAAGTAGTTTACGAAAACGCAATGCCGGCGTTTTCAAATTTCTCCGGTTTGAAGAACGTTTTCGAAAAGCTCTGTTTTCGCGACGGATGGTGGGCCTAACCGTAGAAATTAAACTTCCTTTTTCAAATTTCTCCAGCGTAGTGTGGACGCTTCCTGCACTACGTGATTTCCCCGCCCGAGTTTTCCTGAAACAAAACTCCAAGTGTGGACGGAAAACATTAGCTAATATTTGATGCGTTTTCAGAGTGAAAACACCATTTTCAAATTTCTCCGGCGTAGTGTGGATGGGGCCTGAAGCCTTTTGTTGTGGGTTTTTTTTTTGTGAGATTTGAATTGTACTGAGGAGTGACAAGCTTAAAGTTATTTTCTTGTTACTAATAGGTTGCTAGAGGAATACTTCAGTTCAGATTAAAAGACACGCTAAGCACTGAATTATAGTTAGAATACAATTAGCTGTTGCATTGGCTTCAAGACAAATTTTCTTAGCAAACATTTCAGTGTTAAGATTTTCAGAACTGCAATTTCTGTTGCGGCAGCGATTCATATGTCGAGTCAAACTTGGTCAGTAGCAATTAATATACTTGTATTTTTAACAGAATTACATCATTGATTTGTTAATAATCCCTTTTAATTGAGTTATGCAGTCAGTTCTGTAGTTAAATTGTGTGCTACCGTAAAATCCCACGTTAAAGCCCCCCCGGTTATAAGGTCCCCCCGAACATAAAGCCCTGGTCAAACGGAGTCGCAAGTAGACGCAAGTTCTCAACTTGCGTCTACTTGCGACTTCGTTTGGCCAGGTCTTGCGTGCACTTGCGTTGACTTGCGATGACTTGCGCTCACTTTGGTCGAGATCAAATTTACACGCAAGTCGACGCAAGTTTTTCACCGTTTGGCCACCCAACCCAAGTCAACGCAAGTTGAGAGGTGTCCATTAACCTATTATTAGCCAATGAAATACACGATATTCCTGACTTGAAACAGGTTTTTATAGCAACTTGCGGGTACTTGCGAGGAAAATTGTGAGTCCGTTTGGCCACCCAACGCAAGTCTCTACGCAAGTTCAACTTGTGGCTACTTGCCACTACTTGCGAGTCCGTTTGACCAGGGCTTAAGTGCGTTCCTTTACAAAGATCACAATTTTTAATCGAAAGTTATAGGCTAATAGGGTAACAGGGTAATAATAGGGTAATAGGGTAATAATAGGGTAATAGGGTAATTTTACGGTATGTCTTTATCATAGTTGTACCCTGGTCCCAGAGGTTTTCCTCGTGCTTTCACCGCTTCGCAGCTCTCTCGCAGCTCTCTCATGCGGAGAAAAATCAAGAAGAATCTCTGGGACCAGGGTATCATAGTTGCAGTGTGTGAGTCAAAGAATCGTTGCAATTTTGATAACACGGTACATGTCAGCAACGGGAAAAGGCTAATTATGGACACACCCGTGATCAGGTGATGACAGTTTGTGAATTAGACATAATTTTCTGTTTGTAATATACACAACCATCAAGGCTTTATTCAGTTATCTTCAACTGAATATTTTAAATTACTATAAAATACCATAACAGTAATTGAGATGTACGATGTGATTGTAAATTATAATATTTAGAGAGGACTTAGCTAGTTTTCACGCGGGTCCTCTATCCTGGTCGAATTGGAATTTGGAGATGTTAGTTTTTGCGGGGGAGGAAAAAAGGATAAAAACCCTCGGAGCAAGGCAAGAACCAACAACAAACTCAATCCACATATGGCACCGGACCGGAATCGAACCCGGGCCACATCGGTGGGAGGCGAGTGCTCTCACCACTGGGCCATCCCTGTTCCCCGGCTACAGGCTACTGATAGACAGTGTCTCGATACTGCGTGTTATTTATTAGTTTAGAGGCAGTTAAATGGCAAGTGTGGGCCTGTTTCTAGTTACAGTGGAATCAGATCCCGATTTTTCGAACCTCCAAGGGAAACGAAATTGGTTCGAAAAATCGGATAGTTCGAGTAATCGGCCGTAAAATTACAGTGTTCGACTGAGGAGAGGGAAACGAGTTTTGGTTCGAGTTATCGAGTTATCGAGGGTTCGAGAAATCGGAATTCCACTGTATTCAACACTTAAAACTGTCAGTCTTAAAAATGACGTCATATAGTAACCTCTATAAAACGGTCATCTCTCTCTGATTGAAGCAAAATTAACAATGGATAGATAAGTAGTTAAAGTTACTTCAATACTGTTCATAAGGTTTAGTTTTCGCTGTAGCAAACTTGTGATTTTTCGTGAGGAAATTGCCAAATAATTACAAATCCTAAACGCACTGAAAACAGTCAGTTTATAATCGAATAGACATTTACAGAAGATAACAGACCTGAGAAGACAGACGTCTCTCATCGCACCCTCATTCTCAGTCTCGCACCAAGAAATTCTGTACTGATGACGTCAAATTAAAGCGATCTTTGCGCTGTTTCTCATTGGTTGGTAAGGCAAAAAATGCACAGCGAGTAGGAATGTCCTAAATGTCAAAAGCCTCTCTCTATTTATGACAATGAAAGTAAATGAATACTATTCAATACTATTCAATTAATGAGATATGACTCAGTATCTTCGGCAAAAGGTAACTAGATCTATGAATACGTGTATCGTCATAAGAGTGCGTTTAGGACGAAGCCTGTCTTTTGTCTTATTCATAATAATTGATACACACTTAGAACAACAAAAGTAAATTAACCTCGATTTGATTTAGGGCTGCTGAATTTAGAGGCTGCTTTGCAATAGTTTGTACCCAAATCATTGTAAACCTGAAAGACTGAGAAGTTCTAAGTGAGATATTGTCTTATTGCTAAGAAACGTTTCTAATATTATATCATACTCGTTAGGTGGAAAACGTAAAAGTGCTTCAAGGTTCTCATTTTCATTTTGCCAATTTAAAATTTTAGGACATCTATTTTAATCGTTTTAACACGGCCTCCGAAACCAAAACACGACCATCTGGTGTTGTAGCTATGTCTGTTGGTTTTTGAAGATCAGTAACCGTCTTGCCAGTGAAACAACCTTCCACTGTGAACTGCTGAATGCGACCATTGCGTCTGTCACATACAAGAAGGTTTTGACGATTGCCATATTTCTCAACACACAAACCCCAAGGATAAGAGAACTGTCCATCAGCATAGCCCTTTTCTCCTATCTTGTACAAAAATTTCCCTGAACTGTCAAACACTTTCAAGCAATGGTTCCAGCAGTCAGATACAATAAACATGTTTTTGTGATAAATGCATCCAGTTGGTTTGTAGAGCTTCTCTGAGCCGCTGTCTCCAAATTTAAACACAGATTTACCATCCTTTGTGAGGACTTGGATTCGGTTGTTATAGTATTCGGTTACAACAACACGTCCTTCATCGTCCATACAAACGCTTACTGGATCCTGAAACTCGCCTTTTCCTGTCCCCTTCTTTCCAAAGCTTTTCACAAAATTCCCTGTCTGTACATTAAATTGCTGAATACGGTGATTCAATTCATCTGCCACCAGAATGTCGTCGTCATTCAGGAATGTGACGCCAGCTACACTGTCCAACTCTCCCGGATTCTCCCCATAACAGCCGAGTTTTCGCACAAACTTTCCTTCCTTATCGAATATCAGGACACAGTTTCTTTTATTGTCAGCTACCGCGATAAGGCCTTTATTATTAACAGCAATCCCATAAGGCTTTTGAGGAATTTCTCCTTTTAAATCTAACTCGTCCACAATATGTAGCTGTCTTTCGGCCACTTGGACAGTGAAAGGACTTTTAGCAAGTTTTTCGCCATTTATCTTAACTGTGATGTTATACGTACCTGGTACTTTTGGTATAAATTTGACTTGGAAAATTCTATCGTCTTTTTCACTAATAGTCAAACTTCCTTCTTGTTCAGCGGGTTCCACAAGAACTTCAACGTGAAATCCCACTTTACTTTCACTCGACAGTTCTCCTTTAGATATTTTAGGGCAGACGAGGAAAACTGCTTGTAAACCAGCTTGGAGATTTTCAGTTATTTTCTGAACTGTGGAGCGATGTACATCTATTTCGCTTGTTGCCACGAAACCCAGGTTGAAACTCATAGGTGCAACAGTCGAGACAAACTTCACGAATGAGCTAACCGGAAGGGCTGGTACTGGAGTCTTGCTAAGATCTTCAAATCGCTGTGCTAAATTCTTCTTGCTTTGTATGATATCTGAGCTTGAGCTACTTTGAACAAGGTTATTTGCAAACTCCACTGCTTGATCGATATGCTTGATCGAGGACTGTATCTGTTTGTTGATACAGTTTAATTTCTCCGTTTTCGACTCAAGTTTGTTTTGGAGCGCGGTAATGGCTTCCTGCTTACATTCTTGAATCTTAGCAATTATTAAGTTGGCAGCTTGGGAAACTTCATCTATAGCTGTGGTAATTTTATCTTTTAGCTTGGAAGTTGCCTCCTCGACTTCACGCATCAGATCAGTGTAAACCTTTTTCTTTTCTTTCATCGACTCGATTCCCGACATGATGTTTGCTTTCTCGTCATCAGCTGCTTTTTCAAGCGGATCAATACTGTGATTCTTGTGATCTGTGACAATACAAACTTGACAAACACAAGTTTGACAATCAAGGCAGAAAAACCTCGTTACCTCTCTCTGGTGGTACTGCTGTGAGCAAAAGGATTGTCGCTTTAACAAGGCCTCGTAGTCTTGGGCTTGAAACTGTTTAACTGGCGTGACTTTGTGCCCTTCAAACGCAGCCGCGGCGGCTTGGAACGCTTCATGGGCTTTCAAACATTCATGGCACAACAACTTTTCGCAATCAAAGCAATAGCTCATTTTAGTCCTCTTTTTCTTGCAAATACCGCAGCTGATTTGGCTTCCATCGCCACTTTCTCGAACAGCAAGAAGATTCAACAAACTGTTGTGGAGAAAACTGGTCGGCAAATTATCGAAACGATTTCCTTCAGGGATGCTAAGTTCGGTTTGACACTCCGGACAACGAAATTTTCCTTGCCATTGGCTGGCTAATGCGTGTTTCTGCAAGCACTCACAGCAGAAGGTATGAAGACAAGCTACGGTCTTGGGTTTGGTGAAAGTATCCAAACAGATCGAACATGTGACTTGTTTCTTGAGGTTTTTCAAGAGAGACTCCATTGCGAAAAGAAAACGAAATCGAACTCTCTTGTCTGAATAATTTATAAAGCTTTTCATTCTATTTTCAGCAGCCAGCCAGGCAGATCGAATTCTCTGACCTCGTAGTCTGACCTCGTAGTGGAGGTTGTGCATACATTTTACGCTGTGATAGGGACTGTCCAACAGGCAGGCTTGAAGTTGGAATACTCAGGAATATGAAATATGTTCATGCTTTTTAAATTCTACCCGGCATATTTTCTCCTAGCCTTTCCGTAAATATCCCGTAAAATCACCTTAACGGAAATTCTAAAACATTTTCTAAATATCACAAAAAGTTTTCTGCATCGCTCCAAAAATCAGTGCTCTAGATATTAATATGCCTTATTTTTATTTTGAAAGTGAACCGATTTTGAATCACTTAAGGTAGCATGGTACCCTCAAATGGACCAAAAAGTTTGTTTAAATATGGTGAAGAAAGATCAATTGTGTGCTATTGCACTCAAGAAGAGAAATTAAATTTTGAAAGTTTTACTCAAAATGGTTGCTATGGAAACCAGCCACAGCCTTTTGAGGTAGTGTTTTACAGTACTGACGCCAACAGTTCCTGCTCTTTCACAAAACAAGATTTGATTTTCAAGCAAGAATATCTTGCAAGTTTCTGTTTCGTTCTATGCAATAAACTAAAGTTTTGACAGTTAACTCTTGTTTTCAGTGCTTTCCACAGGCTTTATTTGGAAATAACCTTATTTTGCACGAAACCCAGTGAAACAATTATCTAGTGTCACGTGACAGACGTTAAAAATGTTATGATTTTTTTTAGTTTATTGCATCACGACACTATTGGTCTTTGGAATTCTACTTAAAAACCTTGCAAAGCAGAAATGTTGGCGCGAAGTCAGTCGGTACAAAAGTAAACTTTTGAGAAAAATGCGCTTTAAGTTTCTTACACGAAGTATTAAGCATTTAACGAGCCACAAATAGCGGAGGGGGGGGGTGCAGATTGGATCTCGGGGGAGGGGGTGCAATGGTTGTTCTATTTTGTAAAAAGTTACCGCAGTTGTGGGAAATATTCCTT